CCCCCCCCCCCCCCCCCCCCCCCCCCCCCCCACCCCCCCCCCCCCCCCTACACACACAGATTGACAGACGTAGAGGTGAGAGTTCTATGTGGAGAATTTAGGGTGGAAGCAGAATTCAGTGCATTTCCAAAGCACCCATATTTTCCCTTTGATCCAGATATCTAAATCAAGGAATTTAGCTGAAGGACATAACCAGACAAGCCACTGCCTCCCTCCTCTTCCCTGAGACCAGAAGAACTAGATGGGGCCTGGCTACCACCATTGACGATTCTTCCCAGGGCCCCATAGATGGTCCTAGGTAGAACAGGAGAAAAATGTAGAACAAAGCTCAAATTCTTTAGAGCGGTCAGAGTAGTCACACCAGTTGAAACCAGAGGACAGACTCCTGGAACTATCCCCCTAAAACTCCCTAAACCTTGAGCTGAAACTTGTCTCAAAGCCACCTTTCGGCAAAATAGCAGAACGGCACACAACATAAAGGAAGTGACCCATAGAAACGGTGCCTACCTGAAATACCATCTGTTTAAGACCAACAGATCGACATTTACTCTGATGCAAAGATGACAAGATAAGGGGGACAAGGGAGCTAGGAGTCCTGGAAAGGGAACACAGAACGTTGATACCTTGTGAAAATTCTAACAAATGTCAATGGAAAATGTGTATGGGCATTGTCAAATGGGAGCCTAACCTGCTGGGTAAACTTTCACCAGGAACACAATAAATATTGTTTTCTAAAAAAAAAAAAAAAGAATTTAATCAGATAAGTGGGGAGCTCTCCTTTTGTCAGAGTTGCGCGATTCTGAGAAGTGAAAAGTAACCAGGCCTCCTCACCTAAGGGGACCAAATGGATTGTGGTGCAGCGACAACGTGCAGCCATGTGAGACAAAGACAATGCTGTGGGCCTCTAAAGAGCATGCTGTCGCATCCATGGGGGTTGATATGGAATGCTTTTCATGCTTTATGAAGCGAAGGGAGGAAAGAATTGCTCATCATCTGAGTAGGACCATTCACAGGCAGATGCAGGCCTGGATGCGCACCCCAGCCTGGTGGGAAGATCTGGGAGAGGGCATACCCCCATCACCTTGACTAGGGACAGCTCTTGGGGGATGGGATTGCCAGATGATTTTTACATTTCTTTCTTTTCTTTGAACTGGTTTCTATACTTTTCTGTAACGGTTATATTACTTTGGTGTTTTTAAAAGCCTGGTTATTTTAAAGTCGTGCTTAAGACAAGGTTGGTAATAAATACAAACTCTTAAGAATACAGGACCTTGGCCAAATAGTTCTCCCAAAACCTAGCAGGACTAGGTAACAAATACTCCCCCAAGGGCTGTTGACTGACTGACAAACTGGAAGTTTTGACCCACTGCTGCCCTGCTTGGGGAATCGATCTGCCTAAGTAGAAGGTAGCCTTGTTCTCAGGTGGATGCTGCCTGTCTGAAGGGGGCAGGGTGATGCAAACAGGGGAATGTGACCTTGGGCCATGGGTTGGGGCCTCTGGGCCGGTTGCAGGGGCCAGGGCCTCTTAATTTGGTTGCTTGCTTTTAAAGAGACCTAACTCATTATCTTTCCTCAAGGCCCAGCCCACTGTGTGAAATAACTTAAGCTGGAGTTTAAGGGACAGCTGAAGAAAGGAATGTGCCTTGGTTCAGGAGGCGGACCCCCAGGCCTGTTTCTAGCTTTATCAGTTCCACTGGCTGCACCTCAGCAGGAGGGAACTGGGGCTGCATTTTCAAGGCTCCATCAAATCTGTGCCTTCTTCCCAGGCTGCTCTTTTGGGTTTCATTCTCTGTGGCTGATGAACAGAGGCTGTCATCATAGGACGCTCCCTTGTGGAGGAGCTCCGCATTAGAATGCACCAGGACGCCTGCCTCCTTGTCACTGCAGACAAGATGGGGTCCCAGTGGTGAGGGGCTCCTGGGGAGCACTCCCAGCACGTACACCCTGTGGATCAGAGGCTCGATAAACTCTTCCTTTAGATTAGCGAAAATAATGTTATGGTTGGGGTCACCACATGAACTATATTAAAGGGTCGCAGCATTAGGAAGGTTGAGAACCACTGCTTTAGATGCTCAGTGTTAACAGCCACTCAACACCCCTCAGCCCAACATCTGGTCACCACCAGAGCTTTTCCTGTTGGGGCAGAATGGGGGTCTTCATTTTATTTCATTTAAGCAGTCCCATTTTTTCTGCCCACACCCTCCTGGCCTGCCTTGTGAAATAAGCTTTGTGAGCTCCACAGGTTCCTTCAGAGGGAGGCCATGTCTTTCCCACGGAAGGTTCTTGAGAGCACTTGAGATAAGTGGAGCAAAGTGCCCGTGTAGTGGGTGCTCTAGAAGTATCACTAACAGGGACTCTTATAAAGGCCTGCCCTCAGCAAGCACTTGGCATAAATTATTTTATTAATCCTCATGACAAGAGGGTTTGTGTAGCCAGCAAGCCAAGCTATAGAGAGATCTAAAGGCCCTATTCACACAGCTGGTTGGTGACCTCAGGACTCGCACACAGGCCCATCTGGCCTTGTTTGCCTTCTGCTCACCTTCGCATTCCATAGATTCAGAAAGTAGAACTAGCCAGCCCATTCTCTGCCTTGCAAAGCAGGCCTCTGCTAGAGATTGGGGGTCTTGGGGGAATTCAGGACGATTCAGCCTGAATCGTAGTAGATTTAATCGCTTTCTTATGGTTTATTCTTACACCGTTGTGTTACCCTAGGAATGTTAGCCTTGGATTGTGTTTCGTTGCAATTTCATGCAGTGTTTGAGGATGTTTTGTAGTTTAACCACAGACCAGCAGCTGGAATTGGTTGGTATAGGCTGTGCTCCCCGAGTCTGAGGCAGTCTGCCCATTTCTCCCTCCCACACAACAGGTTAGGTAAGAACAGCGTAGAGTGTCAAGATGTTAGAAAATAGGCCCAAGGTGTAATCATTTCCCCTTGTGAGATGCTGTTTTCCCCAGCAGGTGGAACGGACAAAAACCGTAAGCTCTAGTTATACCTTGTGGTGGTTAACACTAGAAGCCTCCAGTAGCTTCCTGCTTATCTGACACCCACTCTTTTTTAAAAAAGAAAAAACATTGTTATTTTTATGTACAGTTACAGCTCAAATTGATTTCCCATTCAACAGTTTATGTTGAATATTTTGTGACCTTAGTACGTCCCCACAGCAACTCTGTCCACTTCCTCCCAGGGTTTCCCATGTGCATCCAGCCATCTGTCCTGCCCCTGAGTACATTCTGAACATGCAACTACAGAAGGCCTTTGGGGAGCAGGTTCCTCATGGGGGAGTCTTCTTGGGAACCGTCAAAGAATGTTTTGTTCTGTGTGTAAACATTTTCTTGACTTTTTTTAGTGGCTTCTTAAAATAGTTGACCTATTGTGACTGTCTGATTTCACTCAGCATAATGTCCTTCAGGTTCATTCATCTTATGAAGTGTTGTGAGTAGTCATTGTTAGGGTTTAACATTGCATCGTATTCTTTTGTGTTTATGTACCATAGTTTGTTTATCCATTCATCTATTAATGGGCACTTGGATTGTTTTCTTTTTGCTATTGTGAATAATGCTGTGGTGAACATGGATGTGCATGTATTCATTTGTGTTACCGCTAGTCTTTTTCTAGGACCTGGTTTCCCGAAGTGAGTGATACTGCCCTGACAGTGGGGGAGGAACTGTTAAAATGATACAAGGGGCCTGCAAATGCAGTTATCTATACTTTATCCTGGATTATGGGCTATAGTATAAAAGCTTTTAATTGTCAGGGGGTGCTGACTATTTTTGTTTGTTTGTTTGTTTGTTTGTTTGTTTGTTTGTTTGAAAAGGGCTGGTAGACCCAATAAGTTTGGGAACCTATGGGACATTGAGATAGTTTATTGTGCCAGCCTGGGATTAACTGAAGGGCAGAGAGATAAATGCCTTGGTGAGTCTCGCCTTTCTTGTCTTGCTCTTTGATCATCACCAGCCTTGTTTGTCCTGTGCCTCAATTTAAAGGCTACACTACCTGTGGGACGCCTAGCCTGTGGACTGTTGCCGGAGACCAGCTCCGGCGTGTTGGCGCCCGAACAGGGATCCTGATGATAGAGTGGGAGAATATATAGTTTCTCAAAACAAGAACAGCGACTCTGAAATGAATATTAAACAGTTGCAGCAAGATGTACAATCTATAATGAAACTTTTGCAGAATATATCTACAGGTAATGTAATGAATGATGACAGATCTGGAATTCCTGATTTGCAGACTAAAAATTTACATGCTTATCCAATTACGCTTCCCATAAGTAAAAATTTGGGACAAATCTCTATGAATCCAGTAAAATCGGATGTTACAGAAAAAATGTCTCCTTTGCAAAAGAGTTTGAAAGAAGCCTTTCGAGACGGGGAAGATATTAGTGGATTTCAAGCATTTCCTGTAATACAGGATGCTCAAGGACAGAGACAATATGAAACTATACCTTTAATTAATGCCTCTGATGTTGTCATTCAACAGTTGTTCTTGTCCATTCAGACGTTGCTACATGAGCGACAAAACCCTTGCTATTTCGGATATCTTAGGGCTCATTCACAACTATCTGGACCCTTAACTGATGGTAACAATATTGCTGATTGGGCCACTTGAAATAAGCTATGTTGTTTGACTATAGAGGAAAAAGCTATCCGATCGCATAACCTTCATCATCAAAATGCTCAATCCTTACGATTTCAATTTAAATTAACCAGAGACCAAGCAGCAGTCCGAGGAGGATCTGCTCCTGCAAGACTTCAGCCGAAACTTGTCGGCCAAGTCCTCCGCGCTTTTCTTCGGGAACGCCTTTATCGTGTCGGCCATCCCCATCTGGCTGTATTGGCGGATATGGCATATGGATCTTATCCAGTCGGCTGTTCTATATAGTGTGATGACCCTAATAAGCACTTACCTGGCAGGGGAGATACCATGATCACGAAGGTGGTTTTCCCAGGGCGAGGCTTATCCATTGCATACATTCACGTTTCAGGATGTTTCTTTGGTCCTCCTGAACCCTACTTTTCTATATTCTCTTTTTTCTTAAGACCACTCACCCAACTTCAGCTTT